TAGACGTCAACCCTTTCCCTTCGCCGTCCCTACGCCGCAGCCGTTTCTCCCGGAGCACGAAAACGACGGTGACGAAAACAGAAAAACAAACGTGGTTCGGGGAGCGGCCGCTCACGACCCAAGCGCTCGCGGACTATCTCTGCCCTTTCTGCTCTGCGCTACCATATTGGTCGCCGCTTCGCGCGCTCCTCCTCTCCTTTTTTCTGCGGCCGCGCTCCCTATGGCTCTGCCGCCGATGTGCCAGGCTTTCTCCGTATAGAGGAGGCTGTGCTACTAGGCATTGTCGTACTTGATATTCGTCTTTCGTCTATTTGTACATTCCTTGCCCGTTTTTCTAGTGGTTCTGGTGACCGGTCATACAAAAAATCGTGTTTTCTTTTCGGCTGTTCTCCTCTTCCTGATGTTTTCTATTTTGTTGAACTTAATAATAATAATAACTTTATTTTCCAAATGAATTGGAGGGACAGAAGTGAAAAAGCCTCCAGTGGATGCTTGACGAGCCCGAAGCCCCATACAATGACAATCGCAGCAGCACAAGAGAAAAAAAAAAAAAAAAGAAGCGCACACACGCATATACATAAGAAAGACAAAAAACTTCATCCGAATTATTATAAACACTACACAGTAGACACTGTTGTAGCCATAAAAATAACCTTATACAGTTCAAACAAATAAGTAGATAATAGGTAACATAGTAGTCATCGATGAAGAATCACAAGCGCAAATAGAATGAACGCAAATCTTTAGTCGATATGGAGTCTAAACAAATTTCGTGGCTAGCGAGGTAGTTGAGCAATTTAGGTATAGTGTAACGTATAGTTTGTGAACCATAGTTTGTCTTACAGCCGGGAACTTTCCAATGTTCCATGTGTCGGGTTAAATAGACGTGATCGTTCGGCACTAACTCGGGTAAGTCTGACAAGAAACACGATTTTTTTTTCTCGAGTTTTAAGCTGATGCATAACCTATAGTCATAGAAGTTAAATATTTTTAGCATTCTGAGCTTTTGAAACAATCCCTCACTATGGTAATCATAAGGCACATTACCAATAATTCTCAATATTCGTTTCTGCAATAAATATAGTTTCTGCAAGTTTGTGAACGTCGTGTTACTCCAAACGACGCTACAGTAATTCAAATGGGACTGAAACAGGGCATTATATATTAATAGTTTCACGTTAACGGGTAGGGAAGAACCGCGACGGTATGTTAGTCCTATAACACGTGACAGTTTTGTGGCTAAAAGTTCAATGTGGTTATCCCATGACATTCGTTCTGAGAAGAATACTCCGAGAGTTTTAAAAGTGCTGACGATTTCTATGGGGATGGAGTTCAATACGATGTCTCGCATTATTATTACACTCTTGTTTTTTGGCCGAAAAATTATGGCTTTTGTTTTCTCGGTATTAATGTTCAGACCATTATCTCGTGACCAGGCGTACAATTTAGACAATGTTGAATTGGCGACATCAATGAGTTCATCGCTGCTTGTGCCGGAAAAAAATATGCTGCTGTCGTCAGCATATATTACAAATTTTGCCGATGGATTTATATTGACGATATCATTTATATAGATGTTGAAAAGAAATGGCCCAAGTATACTCCCCTGTGGGATGCCAGACCTAAATGGTTTGATATTAGATGAATATTTACCAATGGGAACATACTGATTACGATGGTGTAAATAGGACCTCAAAAGCGATAAAGGCAAACCGCGAATACCATATAAATCAAGTTTACGAAGTAATACATTGTGATTTATGTAGTCAAATGCTTTTGTAAAATCGATAAAATACACCCAGAACCAGCTTTCTTTTATCGAAGTTTTTCAGAATGAATTCTTTTTGCTCCAGCAGTGCCAACTCAGTTGATCGATTTTTTCTAAACCCAAACTGTGCGGAGGTTAGCAAATTGTGTTTATTTGAAAACTGTACTAAACGAGCCTATATACTTTTTTCTAGTGATTTCGAAAATACGGGAAGAATAGAAATAGGTCGATAGTTGCTGAGTATGTTCTTATCTCCCTTCTTATGCAAAACAGATACTTTCGCTCTCTGCATTCCGGCAGGAAAAACTGCAGTTGTTAGAGATAAATTAAAAATGTAGCACACACATGGTGTTAATATGTCGACAACATACTTTATCGGTCGAATTTGTAAATCATCGCAGTCACAACAACTGCTATTTTTTATCTGCATAAAAACAGAATACACCTCAGAATCTGTGACCGGTTCTAAAAGAATTGAATGGTTATTTCGAAAGTCTATGTATTTACAAGATTCTTCCGCATTGCTGCTGTCACTAACCAAGTTTTTAAAGTAGTCGCTGAAAGTTTTGGCTAGGGACCATCCAGTCAAGGACACTCCTTCGTGAACGATCTTTTCAACATGCTGTTGTGTTGAACCGCTAACCGTTAGAAAGTTGGACGCCCGCCAGACTTGATCCACATGAGCAGACTGTTTCTGGAAAACGTTAGTGTAATAAAGAGCCTCAGCATTTCTTAGTAGCTTTGTTAATTGGTTCCGGAATGATTTAAACCTTGAAAGCTGTAATGGATCTCTCGTTTTGATCAATTTCTGATATAGCAATTTGTTTATATGTATTTTATCAAGCAAGTCCGGAGTTATCCATGGCTTCCTGATTTTTTTTTTTTACGTTTTTATTGATTTGTAAGGAAAGTGTCGTTTATAAATGGTTTTAACTGTATTTAGAAAGCAATCATAGGCAGTGTTGGCATCATCTGCAATAAAAATTGAATCCCAATTAGTTTCATAAATTTCCCTTCTGAAAGCCTCCAGACTATCTGGTGTTATACTCTGAACCACAAATGCTTCACTGCTATTAGCTTCATTGTATAAGCGCAAATTATTGACATAAATATTGGAAGGTGATCGCTTATATTGCATGTTAGCGTTCCAGCTTTAATTTTATCTGTTTCAAAATGTGTAATAAACAAGTCAATCACTCTTTCAGGGTGCACCGTCACCCTTGTTGGCGTCTTTATGACATTGAGGCATCCATTTGTGTTGATCAGTATATCCATTTGTTGCCTAGGATCGTTATCTTTCAACATATCAATATTAAAATCTCCTCCCATAAAGAGATCATATTTATTCTCATAAACGAAAAGGAAAGGAACTTCCAAGCAACTAGCAAGTTCCTGAAAAGGAGCTTCCTATCCTTATGCTGCTGAATTTTCTGCTAGTATTGCTTCAGTGACCGTATTATGCTCATATTTTTAAAAAGTAATGAGTAATCAAAGCAATCCGTTACCAATATTTTGTGACAAAATTACATTACAAATTACACCCGAAAAAAAGTTAACGTGGCAATTACAAAATTGCTTAAAAAAGTAACGGATTACAAGTAATCTGTTACTTGTAACGGATTACATTTTAAGCCTGGCTCCATATCACACAAAACTGCGAGATAGAATCGATGAGAGTCCCATTTCGACGGCAGCGTTCGTCACCGCTGCCTCGGAAAACAAGGAGATGACAAGGGGACGATATTGACCTCTTAATCTAAAATTGATATCAGCGATAAAACTATAATACGGGAAGGGTCCACAAGGGTGGCGCGGGCGCGTATTTCATCAGCAAGCTAGCCGGTAGTGGGCACTGGGCAGACCGTCTTGGCCGAGGCACGACCAACTCAATACTGGGCCAAGGACCGTCGGCGCAACGCTGCCCGGGTCGGAGTGCCTGCTAGGGCTATATCCTGCCGAGCTCGCTTGGTCAGTGAGATCGTTGTCGTTGTAGCTTTTCCCGAGTGTTTGTAGATCCAGTGTTCATGTTCGTCGTCGTCGATTTCAAGTACTTCTTTTTTCTTGCTGCTTGAAGTCAAGAACCGCAAGAGCACGTAGAAAAATAAATGTCCGTTGGTCGTCGCGACCAAACAACTGAGCGACGTCTTCGGTCATGCTGATTTGATCGTAGAAAGTGCGTAAGGCGGCTCCGGAGCTGTCGTAGGATTTCGTCGTAGCCTGCGCCAAACTTACGAGAATTACGTTTCGTGAATCTGGCCTCTGTTATTTAGCGCATGGCACTGTAACAATAACACGCCGCGACTGCCACTGCCCCCCGCCCAACACTGGACACAGCAACCTACAACAAACTTTCCGCAAAACGTTTAAAAAAAAATCATGATTTTGCTTGTTTTTTACGTTTCCGGCAGTGACGTCAAATATGTCGAAATAAATTACTATTTTTATTTGGACGGTAGCCGTCAACTGCCCCGTGTCGACCTCTGAAAAAGACGGTTTTATGAAGTGCTCTGCTGCCCAATGAGGTAGAGGGGCTTAGAGAGATAAACCGGAAGTTCGAAAGTGGCACCCCCCCCCCCCCCGGTTGCCGCCATGTTTTACGCAAAAGTGACCACTCTTCACGCGAACTCACAAGAGCCGGGACGTCACCGGTAAGATGGCAGTGCCCAGAGCTGGCGGATGCGAGTTTGTTCGGTGCGCGGTACCCGTGACTAGTTCCACTAAATAAGCTACGCTTCAGAATAACGACACTTGGCCATATTGTCTCTTAAAATCATGGTTGCTAGTTATCGGGAACTTTATCTAAAATCACAGGCAACGCTTTTCCGCCCTCCAGAAATGTTGAAACAGTTCCCGACAGAGAAATGCAATATTACATGACCTTTCTAACACCGAATCTAATGCTGAGAAAGTCGCACTTTTGAATCATGACGATCGGCAGTTCCGTCTGCTCCGCATAAGAACCAAAATGGCGGCGCCCACAACAATGCCGGGGAACGGAGTGCCGATACTCCAAGCGCAGCTCATTTAGTGGCTCTAGCCTCAAGAAGTTAATATTTTGGATGTCACAATATAATCCTGCTTTGAAACACCGAAAAGGTGCATCTTCGTCATCTTTCCTCTCTGACACGTGCGAAGCCATACCACCGAATTCGGCGATTCGCCACGCGCAGCGCGGGGCGAATCGCCACGTCGGTAATGACGAGCCCAGCGAGGCCAGCACGGAAGCATCGATATGTATACGTCTTTGGCTATCTTCGTGTCACTGGCTCTCTTTATGTGCTTCAAGGGTGGAAGCCTGTTGGACCAAGGTCCGGGGCCGCCGTTGGAGCAGATTGCTGCGGAGCCCTATGAGATGGATGTGAAGCCAGTGCAGCCGTATCAGGTGCCGGTCTCGTACATGCGAAGTCTGGTGTCCCAGCTGCAGGCAACTCCATCCGACATCAACTTTTTCCTGGAGCTGGGTCGCGATCCAAACGACTTTCTAGACATCCTAGACAACTACCAACACGGTATCAGTACCGCCATTCAGCTAGGAAACACACTACTAGGCCTGCTTTCCCTTGGTGGTGTGCTCGTCGTTGCCGGTCGATTTGCAGGCTTCTGCGGTGACGATGATGTTCAGGAGGCGTCGCCGCTTTACAACGCCTTCTACACAACAACATTGGGAGTAACGCTGTTCGCTGCTGCGGTAGACGTTATACTGGCCTTTATGCTCTACCAGAGTAGCAGTGACCTGTCAGCTTCCATCAACGTGCTGCCGTCCGTCAAAGCAATGGCTGTGAACGACTTGGCAGCCTTCGTCAAGAACACAGTGCAACAAAAACTGGTCATTGCGGAGCGCGAAAAGCGCCATCGACTTGAAGAATTAGAGGAACATTTCCACAGGGGATTCAGTAGCTACCTCAAGGCACGAGTACGAAAAGACATGAAGCTTTATGAGGTACCCAGTGTTAGCGATTGTGCCGAAAGCGTTCGCCAGATAGGTATTATGTTCATAAAAGACGGTGCGTCATCTATGGGACGACAATTATTGATGGCGAGCCAAAATCTTTCTCTCATGCACCACTTTCGCGATGATTTGTGTGATCTCGTGGCACGTAAAGTGGAAGAGTCCACGTCGAGAGAGCGGACTATATCCATGAAAAGGTTGCAGAGCGACTTTCCTGATGCTCGTGTGAAGGCAGACCTAAAAACTACGCTCAATGGCCTTGAAAATGCTGCCCACAGACTGATGAAGTACGGCGCCAAGACCGGCTGGTTTGATCGCTTCAAGTCAACCACTTCCTTCGCTCTACTTCCCGTGTTATTTCTCATGTTACTGGCGGTGTTCATCACTTTCTGCATAGGCGGAATGACGCAGCACAGCTTCACGGTAGGTCCGGAAGAGCGCAGCGTGGGCTCGCACATCGCCGGTCAAGCGCTCATCTGCTGTTCGTTCATTCTTTTTTTGTTTTCTCTGGTCGCGCTCTATATGGCCGTCGGACTATTTCCTTATGGGGCTGTGGGTGAGTGTTACGTGTGCCAATCATACCGCCAAGGAAGTTTTAAAGTGCTAAATCTGATCATGGTACGTTTGTGGCCTCTCAACGAGCGAGCAGCCATGTTCCAAGGAATCCACCCGAGTGAAGTACTGAGTAAGTGCGGCCGTGGAGATGCTTCACTGGCTGACCTCAGAGTTCCCTACGAGGTGCAACAAGACTCTGACATCCACGACTCCGCTATCAGCACGCCTAACACTTTTGCGAAGGGCACGACTACGCGTCTGGAAGCTGAGCAGCGAGCGCCCGTTCTTCTGGTCAATGACAAGCAGGTGTCCACACTGAGAGTTTCAGATATAAGCTTGCCTATTGTTATACGGTTACTAAGCACTGGAATTTCAAAGGAACAAAAACTCAGCAATAGAACGCGTCAAAAGACGATCGCCTTTCTCCGGAAGTGGGACAATCTAGATCTGACTGAAACGTCTGATCGCATTGCTGCGTCTAGCTACCAACGTTTTCTGCTCACCATGGTAGGAAAGTACTACTACGATTACGTGAATAGCCCAGAAATTAGCGGCCACATTGGAAATTGTGGGCCCGTCTTCACCGTAGCAGATAAAACTATGGGTGCCGTCTGTGGCGGCTTTGTAGATTCGCTTTTAGCTTATGTGTTCCTCCTGGTCATGGTCGCAGTTGTGTCAATCTTCCTGGTTGTCATGGCCGCCAAATCAGCCAAAAACTTTAGGAAAGGAAAAAGGAAAGTCATAAGAAGAAGGAAGAAAAAGAAAGGCAAAAAGAAGAAAAAGAAGAAAGGCAGCAGTGACACGGAAAAATCTTCGCCTTCCAAGACCCCTGCCAGTGCACCTGCTACGCCTGTCACACCTCCCTCGGCTAGCTCCGCCAGGCTCTCCAAGGCCTCGGAAGACGCCGTTGTTCGCATCACCACCATCCGGTCGGGCGACAGTCCCATGGGCTCCATCGACCGCTCAGACATTCTCGAAATCCGTATCCCCAGCCCGCCGGCTCCCGAGCCGCCGCCACCGCCCAGGACCCCGACGCACACCGTGGAGACGGTGCACATCAAGATCCCGCCTCCAGCGCAGCCACCGCCGCCAGTAGCAGCGCCTCCACGCCAAAAAGTCTCGACCATAGAGATTCACCTGCCGTCCCAGTACCTGAGTCAGGCGCAGGTGCCACCACCGCCTCCGACAAGAGCGGCTGAACGTACGGTATCACTCATCATCGGCGGGACGGAGGGCTTTCCCGTGGCCCGGCGGTCCTCGGGTAACACGACAGTGGTGCACGTCGATCAGGCGTCCCAAAAGCGGATAACGCACCACCGCCTGAACCCGGCCTCGTGGCTCTGGTCCCTGTGGTATCCGTTCTGGGGCGGCGGCGTCCACGAAACCGCCGTGCGTGTCTCTAGCTCGATTGAACTCTCTCCAGTGACGGCCATACCGTCCATTACGCACTTGCGTAGAGTCCGGTCTGGACCCATTTTGTATGCGGATGTTGCACCTGACTGTGCATACGGGTCTTGCACCTGACCCTCTGCCCTGCCGCGCATTCTCGCTACCCCTACGCGTGCGCGTCGTCTATGTGACGCGAATATTTTGATTCAGTCCAAGACACTGCGTTGACCAGTGGAGTCACTTTAATGAGTCGCACCGACCGAGGACCGCCGTTGCCGTCAGTGTCGCTTGCTCTGCTGTCGCCCTGGTTCCGAGCTCGCCTTCGGGGAATCTGGGCACAGACAAGAGGACATTGTTTTACTAAAGCGCCACGGGAAGCCCAGAGCAAAGCGAACGCGTCAATTGAGCCCTAAACTGGCAACCGCTGAATATCCTTGTGTCTTTCAGGTCGCCCTGTGGAGACACGATACTGAGGGAAACAATAAAGGCCGCTGCTTAGTGCATTCGTGAAAGATTTACCTTGTTCGTACTTGAATGTGTGCTCTCCATGATTCGACATATGCATAAAAAGAACAAAGATCCCGATATTGCTCACCGATGTTAAATTATACCGACCTGCAATTGTGGAGGTTAATCTTGCCTTGTTTCAATTTGTTATTGAATAGATGACAGAGAGACACTGAAGACAAAAATGAAAAGCGAACCAGAAGGGAAACATCGACGAAGTGTAAATCACAGTCTATGAACTCTGACAAAATGTAGAAACTTAAGCTTTGGCGGCTTTAAAGCATAAAGGCCCGTTCGGACAGTGCCGCTTGCTTATGAAAAGGGCCGTTCACACTGGAGCGTTTGCTTACTTTTTTTTACGTTGCAAGTTGGAAACATCCGTTCCTCAAATCACGACCTTCTCTATACTTTCCACAACGTTACCCTGAGCGCGCCCACGGGGAGCGCTGTCCCTTGATGCGGCCTAGAGTTCCTGTATAGGCTACCTACGGGAGGGCGCCTATACGGGAACTCTAATGCGGCCGCTATAGCTTCGCGCCGTCCCACTAAATGGCACCATTACTCAGCTGTTCAAGGCGTGCTAGAAATGCGTGCGGTAATGCATGTGCGCGCCCGGTGGAACATTTGTAAACGATAGGCGATGCGCGGCATGAGGACGCCTTTCGCACCGGACTGGCTGCTCCTCGAGAAGGACACTGTGTTCTCACACACAGCAACTATAAGCCCCGTGCGCTACCGAAAGCGTCGCTGTGGTCGGCCTTCCACGATTGGCCGAACGCTGACTATGACGTCGGAAAGGGGATTTATCATCGACGGAAATAAGAGGAATGAAAGAACTTTAATTTTGACGGTGTTGGCAGCGTTCCTTTGAGAGCGCAATGATTTCAAGCTTCCACCATGTTAATAACAAACACCATCGAACTTGTTGTTTGCAAGGTAATGACGTCACAAGGGGGAACCATAGGAGGGCGCCACCAAAACATCTCGCCACTAATACTCCATTTCACCTTATGATGTACCGCAGGAAGGGCTATAAGCGCGAGGTTCTTGCTCTAGGGCACGTCTCGGCGGAACAAGCTCTCGTGCACTAAGGGCTGCTGACAATGCTATGAGCTGGCGCTTCTAGCCTTCGCCGCGGTACAGCATAAGGTGAAACGGAGTATAGCGGTTGCTGCGCCGGCCGGCAGTGAGCGCGTTGCGTTTGTATCACTGGGCGCGTTTAAACCTATGCCTACCCCCCCCCCCCCCCCCCCCCCCCCCCGTTTCGCGGCAGCGTTGCATGTCTATCACTGGGGCCTGTGAATGAGCCTGTGAATGAGCCTAACCTCCCCCCCTTCCCCTCCCCGTTCTCGCCGCAAAGCGGCGAGAACGGGGAGGGGAAGGGGGAGAGGTTAGGAATGCGCTTCAGTGATATGCGCGCAACGCGCTCACTGCCGACCGGAGCAGCAACGGCTCGTTGCGATGTGTGACAACACAGCGTTCTCCTCGAGGAGCATAGAATCCGGCGCGAGCGGCGTTGCCATGCCGCGCATCGCCTACAGTTTACGAATTCCCCGCCGTGCGCGCACATGCCCATTACCCCAAGCATTTCTAGCGCGCCTAAAACAGCTGAGTAATGACGCCATCTAGCGGGATGGTGATGTGTCGTAACACGCAGGAAAGACATTTGCTTAATAATCTAAGTGGTTTGGGTTCGCTTCCCGTCCGGCGATGTAAGCAGTCACGCGATGCGACTAGATCGCATCGCAAAAAAAGTTAGATGGTCACACCGGCGTGCGCGATGAGCGAGTCCAACGCCTTCGTTGGCGAGTCGTTTCTCGAAAACTCTCGCTCCGAACGCCGTTGATTGGCTCAGCCGCTCCGCGACTAGATCGCATCGCAAAAAAAGTCGGGTCGAGTAGCGACTGCTCAAATCGCGTCGCTTTTTGCCCGTGATGGTCGCTTTTGTGATGCAAGTTATCGCACGACTAGATCGCATCGCCGGTGGGAACGCGCCTTTACTGCGGTGGCCTCTCCCCCCCCCCCCCCCCCCACCCCCCCACCCCCCCAAGTCAAAACCAATCAGTGTTGAGCCTCGCGGCCACGCTTTAATCCAGGCTTCACCTTCGTCCAGACTTCACGAAATGCCAAACCCCTCTCCAAATAACGTTTCACGTTAAATAAAGGGCCAAAATTAGACGTGCACAAGCCACACCAACGCGCAGAAACGGGGTCGTACATGTTCGCTTGCCTGCATGGTCAGCCCACACCGTTCCAGCGGTTCCCAGGAATCGCATTATGGTCGGCATGCTAACTACTACTGTGGTCACTAGCAGCTTTTAAGAAACGCAGGGCGTGTCGAGTCCCTACCATCTATCGCAGCAAATCAGGGTGCGGCATCAGACCATAAGAACGTCGGAGAACGAATCGCAGAGCGTGGACATCAGAAGCAACGCCTTTTTCAGCTCTGGGTGGCTACAGGTGCGTCCCAAATTTCTGGACGCCAACTAGTTCCGCGCAAAGTAAGACATAATATAGTTATGCATATTGTTTGTGATATAAATCTTTTTTTAATTACTTTTGGATACCTGAATAATCGACGTAATTCGCTTCCACGTAAAGACATTTGTCATATCGTGGCACAAGTTCTTTGGATACCCTCTTATTAGACGTTTGCAGCCTGAGTCTTGAACCAACATCTTTGGTATACCCGCCGAGAAAACAGTTTGTGCTGTTAAGGTGTTTTGTAACGATTTCACGAAAAAAAAATATTTCAAAGCCTTAGTGAACCGACGCTTTCCAAAAAGTTGGAAAGCGTCGGTCGCCCAGAATGCTGTCATTACTACTTTCGAGAGTCTTCCGTGACCAGGAAAAAGCTAACTTCTTCGCTATGGAGCATGAACGCTCTGTCGCTCTCTAAGAAACATTCTCATCAGATTCCAAATCTGCAGCATACCTCCGCCAAACCTGTTTATAGATATTTCGTGATCTACAAGGTCTGACATCTGTCACATTAAAAAATCTTATGATGGACTGGACTTGGAAATCCGCGAGTCGTTCTATCGACTTAAACAGGATTAATGCAGAGCTGGAATCACAAAAATGATCAGTCACAAAATAGCGTCAGGCCGTGACTCTAAGTGAGAACACAACTGCGCTCACGCAACTGAAAAGTGAACACTCTCGCTGGATGCATGTGCGGAAGCAACTTTCTTTCTGGACGCGCGTACAACGCGTGTTTATAGACGTTTTCTGTTTCCTGTCATTCTCAGTCACGTGGGTTCCGTATCTGGTATGCGGGACGAAAAATTATAAAAGCATTTCAACCTGGAATATGAGAAGGATATAGGTGAGGCTAAGCAAGAATGTGTGACAATCACCCCTTTCTCGAAAACATCTTCCAGCGGCGTGGAGAGATCAAAACGATGTTTTACCGCATACGAGAAGCGACGACATTCAAGATGGCTGCGCCTTTGTGAAAATGTGCATAGACAGAAACACCAAAATGGGACTTTAGTTAGCGATTTGGCTTGTTCAGACATTTGTATCGGTGGCGTTCAAAGCAACCAAACGTGACAGCACACCGGAACAGCCATAAGTCACGATTGATGCAAGAAGCTATTAATTAAATTGTTTGCCATTTTGGCTTTTTCCGATGACTATATTATTACTATCGTTTCAGGTCTGATTCGAACTAAAGTCACTGGACCCTGATAGACTATAGCGCCAAACTCCCTGTATGGTCGCCATTTTACTACATGAAATGAGCAGTTTCTCATCGACCTCTTCATTCTTGGTAAGCCGATCTATATTCGCTGGTGAAGTACCCCCTTCACCAGCGAATATAGATCGGCTTACTAAGAAATGCCTGCGCGTTTGCTTACCCGCAAAACACTCAAATAACCAATATCTGTGATCTAAGAAATCAGGTCAGCGAATGATGAGGCGTTATCGACGTCCAGGATCACGTCGATAACGACGCCTAGAGGGGGACACTTAAGGAGGCTGTGGCGTATTTGCGTGGGTGGCCACGTTTGCGTGCGGAAGCCGTCGCAGATGTAGATGCTGCTGCCGATGTCGAGGCCGTAGATGTAGACGCGTTCGCCTCACAGTCCATCGCACGAAGCTCACAACGAGCAGAGATGAAGTGCGAAGCGCACCCTTTGCACACGGCGCTCCGGCGGTGATATCACGCTGATGACGTATTATGACGCCTGATGACGCATATCTATGGCCATCTTTCGGGCACAACAACGCAGACGCTGCTTGTTCTTCACGTAATGTGACAAGTGAGGTCGTCCTAGAGGTCTAGGACGACTTCTAGGACGACTGCAAGGACGACGCCAAGGTAATGGGACAAGTAGAGTCGCTTGTTAAGCGGCGCGTGCCGCGCAATCGCGTTTGTTTGGCCACTTACTCCAACTTTTCGCTCAATAAAACTAGGCTTTTGCATTAAAAAAAATCAAAGAAATTTACTACCTTTAACATCCAATATGAGTCTCAAGAGACACGGACCGAGGCTCTTAAAGTGTAGGGATTAATGGACTGAATTATGCTTTATTACTTTGTCGGCCAGACGTGACGCGACATGTTTACAAAAAGAAAATGCTGAAACATGACCTGCAAGACTTGCTTAATGTCATGATCATTCGATCATGACATTCATACCCCACATACCCCCACATAAGCCTAAGCGGCACAAGCCGCTTAGGCTTATGTGGGGTATGAATCTCGGTAAAATTGTATGTGGAAAAGATGAAATAAAGATTATTATTATTATTATTATTATTATTATTATTATTATTATTATTATTATTAATGCTCTTCTTTTGATTCGTCAGTAACCATAAATCTACAAGGTGAAAGATCCTAAGGATTGTCGAATAATCAACCACCCGACCGAATGTTTTCTATCCCCCATGCCCAGAATGGACAAAACTTTTGATGAGACAGCCACGGGTAGAGTATTTTCCGCGATTATCCCTTCCTAAAGATTTGCAAAAAGGAACGTACACACAATTTGCAGCATTCGCTACACCATAATTCCATACTTGAAGAGACCCCCCCCCCCCCCCCCAAAAAAAAAAAAAAAAACTGCTTTCACGTGGCACGCGTGCTAAAAGAATTTAAAAAAAAAAAACAAAAGCAAACACTACAAGATAAGTTTTGAAACGGCGAACTATTTCAGGGAAGGGGGCATTTTTCTGGGGGAAACTTCAATGGATAACCCAAAACAAGACTCCTTGGCTTGAATATACCGTCTAGGAGAACCTTTGATGTCTACTCTCATAGAGGTTTTCTTTATCGTTTAGCTAGTTGGATACTTCAAATCTTTTACGTAAGATTTTGCAAAGGCAGCAGAGTTTCTCACATGACTGACCCGAAACTACGTGCCACTTAAATGGTCCAACATATGTGACGAATCTACGAAATACCTTGTACAAGTGATCTCTTCCGATCCTCTATTGTTCGTACCTAATGTCGTCCTAACTTTCGAACCCAAGAATTATTTGTCCCACGATGGCACAGCATGGTCGAGTGCGTTCACAACGTATCGAGCTCAACAGACCGGAAATAAACAAACGTCACCCATATATTTTAATATGCCACGGCCGCTCGATTTTGGTGTTCCGTTGTAATGCTCACCGAGTGACGTAAACGAATTATGTTTATGTGTATTTCAAGAATAAAAAGGACGGCGCTCACATATAGGCAGGCTTTCGAACCGAACACGAATTCGAACTGAAAACCGGATGACAGCTGTTATTTTTTATCAAAACGTACCAAAAAACCGGAACAAAATTGAGTCTGGAAAAGAACATTTGACATTGAACACCGTATGAAAAGGAACCACAATCTGATGTGGCGGTTACTGCCTCCCTGAAAAACTGTTTGGCGTGATGAAGTCTTAGTCGCACCTGTTTTAGCACTTGGCAGAGGGCGTCAGCGGCGCAGTGTTACCTCAATAAACCGCAGCGACGTGGAGACAAGTCGCGAGTAATTAACCAAATCAATAAAGTTCGCGTCTACGCGCACCACGACCTGGCGTCGGCGAGTCGGGTCGGAGGCATACAGCTCTACCTGACTGTGCTGAAAAGGCGAAGGAGCTAACCTTTGTTTGTTTTTTGGCTGCTAAACAATACTTTGCATGAAAAGAGAACGTCAAAAAAGGCACTAAAATAAATTTAAAAAAAAATCGACGGGCTTCCTTTGTGTATTTTTTTTCTCCGGTGCAAGTAAGCCACCGCGAAATACGGCGCCGTGAATACCCGAGAGGCATACGAGTTATGTAAAGCTCGTAAAGCCAGGAGTGGCGCGTCACAGAGACGCCTAGGCTTTTGAACACCGATGTCCCGGTACACTCCGTTTACGATATACAAACTGCAAGGGTGCTAGGAGACATCGAAGTCAATCCAGTGCTGTGCGAGTGTCATGTGGCCTTCGAGAAGTACGCAGCGACGCGCGGGGGCGTGTATAGTCACGACGTCCACGTCTCTGGATTGGCTGCGATGGCTCGCAGGGTCCGCTCCGCTGCGGTTCATCAGAGCATGAAACGGACTCAAGTCGCTCCTCGGGCAAACGTTCGGTCTCCTTTTTTTTCTTTCATCGCTTCCTTTTCTTCCTTCTTTTTTTTAATACATTTTGTCTGCCTTTTGCGGTCTATCCCGTCTCTAACCTAGGAACTCAGTCATTCGTAGCGGGTAGTTTGAGAGTATAAGGTGCGTGCTGGCTGATTCACATCGCATGTGAGTGCTCTACTGTGGTACAGCAGCACGTAATTAGCATGCGGTGGTGTTTGCTATAAAGCCTCAAGGCCCCCACCGTACAAAATTAAACATATGTTCGTTCTGTTGTCCCTTTTTCCGCAGCACGTCTTCGGATGAACAGAGTTTTTTTTTTTTTTTTTTATCTTTTAAAGCACATGACGCCGAGTTGAACGCACTTTTCTTTTTAGCGACTGGAAGCTATAATGCTACAGTTATGCTTGGCGGCAAAATTGGTGAGAGGTCAGGGTTTAGCGACTGAGTTTATGATTTCACGAATGCTTGCATTATCGCCATGAGCATACAAAAACGCTCCATGCGCTCCATGCTTTATATATGATTTCCCCCAGCCGAACGAGAAAAAATGACCGCCTTATTAGGAGACAAACAACCCGTTTTTAATGTCCCTCTTTCCCCTTCGTTGTTTTCACAAACACCTCAATCTATCACTCAAATATTTTCAGTGGCGGGACCTTTCTTTTTTTTTTGGGGGGGGGGGGGGGGGGGGGGGGGGGGCTACGAGTATTAGCTACTGTCAAAGTTTGTGAATTAAAACCTCGATGTGGAGTGACTAAAAAGCACTCTGTGCTAAGAGTAGCAAGCATCGTATATTTTCGTTCAATTTCGTACATATCCGCCTAGGACGGACATCAATAGCCCAGGCAAATTCCAATGCAATGCCGGGTAATTTTTTTTTTGTGTGCTTTCTCAAGTAGAGTCTGATACAATCGCGATTAAGAAAAGAAAAGCAGGACGATAGAAGTCATAATTTAAGCTATAGTCACAATGAAATGATTCAAATACAGATCTTTATTTGAATTGTTTAATTGTGACAAAAAACAGGCAACCTAACCGATATTTCGCATGTATGACTGAACCGGAACCGGACCAGAGCGATATACGAAGCTGTTGAACCCGAACCAAAACCGAACCGTTATATTGGCCGGTTCAACAACCTGTACATCAGCATATTCGAGGTTTCGAACGCAGGGCTTGAAGTTATTCAAGAGGAGCTTCGCCCTTTTTAAACCTAAGCCATCAACTAGTTGAAAGTCGGGCCCTATAGCACACCCTGTTCTCGCTTTGGTTCATTTTAATAGACCTTTCGCTAAATTACCCAAGCATAAAAGAGAATGTTGGGAACGTAAATACACGCGCTGCACGTGCTCGCCTTTTCTATACAAAAATTTCGAAGTAAATAAACCAAATAAATCGTCCGTGGAACATCGGTGTGGAGTGCTATTTGATTTAGATCTTTTTGCTTTGGAATATCTGAAGACGCCAGTACGCCTAGCGTGTGTACCTACGTTCCCAGCATTATTTTTCATGTTTGGGTAATTCGGCAAAAGGTACATTGGAATGTGTGAACGCTTACGCAAACAAATGAATAATAAAATGAGTGAGATTGTTCGCTTTGACTTCCGGCAGTTTGCTGGTCTATAGCTCACAACGACCGGCGAACCGCTGACCTACCGGCCGTTGTGCTGCTAGCACTGGCTGTGGGTAAAGTGTACTTTACCCACAGACAGTGCTAGCAGAACAACTTTGACAGGTCATCAGCTATAGCTGATGACCTGTTAAAGAAGAAAACACCAACAGAATCGAACCCAGTCAGCAGCAGCGCACGCAGCAATGGGGACCTTTACGCGCTATATGCTAACGCCCGGACAAGTTTCCCCAGAAGTCACCTAGAAGACAAAGCCTGAGCGTCATTGTTAGTTGATTCAACTTGATTGTACCCCAAGCTGCAAACACGTTAAGCTCGGCAGACGCATGCGTCTCTGCATCGCCGCGTGCTAACTTGGTGCTCGTCGTGAAACACTGCAAGACGCGCTCGCGGCGACGCGGATTCGACTTAGGTGGCGTGGATCCTCCAGGCCTTGTCTTCTAGGTGGTAACGCATCGGCCCATCTCTACCGGCGAGGTCTGTCATAGAGGGGCCTCCACTATAGGTGATCCTTGGACAGGTTTAACTGCTGACAGTGTCCAAGGGCCTGAAAAGGGATCGGCACCACAGCGCTCCTCGGCACTCGGTGGAACAGATCCCGCATACTTACGGACGCACTGCGCCCGGCACTTGGCCTCTGTGTCGAACCGGTTGTCGTTGCCGCCGCAGCCCCCATAGACGAAGAGTCGGCACTTGTTGAGTTTGCTGTCGTAGAACCACTTGGTGGAGGCCTCCTCGCAGTCTCCGGCGTCCTTCTTCATGTCGCACGCCTTGTTGTGCGCCGCATGACCTGCGTTGCCCCGAGACAGCACTCTCACAACCGCCGAACTGGGCCAAGTCGGCAAGAGTGCGCCCCGAGCGTGCCTCGCATAACTCGGAACCAGGTTCAAGGAGCGCGAGGGCTTCCAGGGCGACGCTTCGCCTGCCTCCCCCGCGCAAATCGCTCGCCCGGGCAAATAGCCTTGAATCGCGCAAGGAGAACGGGTCGCCTGGCCTTCGCCCACTATCTGGCCGGTATCTGTTGTGCACCCATCGCGCGTATCTGTGGGACAGCGAGGACGTCGGCAACCGGAGCGGCGACCGGCCCAGCGGTCACCACCTTGCTCGTGGGGAAGAGGCACCGCGCTGACGTGCCCACCATTTCGATGCCCCGTGGCCTAGATAGAGAGCGGCGAAAGAAAATCCAGCTGGCGTGGAGCCCGATTGGTCCGCGCCCTCGTCGCGAAATATTAAGGACTGCTCCTCGCGGAATGGGAATCGCCTCTCGTTCGCCTCTCTGCCTTGCATCTGCCGAAGGAAATGGGCCGCGTGTAAATTCGCGCGCCAAGCCCACGCCATCGGAATTGGCTGCGGAGCTGCGGGGATGTCGACACACGTGTGTTGCATTCTGTTCACGTAAAGATAACCCCCTGCTTTACCCACGGCGATCACCATTTACAGCGCATGACACTACCGGCGACATCCGGTGCGACAGAGTACTCTTCCAAGCTTGCGGAAGAAAGGACTGGCGGAAGGAATTCACGGAAACCATTGAGATATTCCGCACTACAAGATTGTGCCGGTTGTACAAGTGTCTTTTCTTTTTCCTTCTTTTTTTTACTCCCACCGGCGTACTGCGGCAATAGGCCCTTCGCCATAGAGACCTATTGCTAAATTGCCCAAGCATCAAGAAGCATGCAGGGAGCGTAGTTATGCGCGCTGCGCTCACTCGCCTTACCAGTATTGAAGATTTTAAAGAAATCATAACAAAAAGGCGTTTGCGGACGCACGTGCGAATTGCCACTTGTTTTCAATTTTTGCTTAAACAAGAATACTGCCAACGCCAATAGGGAAATGCGTGTAACCACATCCCCTGCATGCCTCTTGACGCTTGGATAATTTAGCAATAGGTATATTACGAAGCACAAAAGAAAATACTGGAAACGCACGCGCTGCACGAACTGGGCAGTAATAAATGATTTTAGATTGTGAGTTCGCTAATCGCATATCATGTACTGGGTTGAAAGAAACCTAGTACCTTAGGGTAGCAAGTTAAAAGTCTGCTTTACGGTGCAAAATTTTGAAAATATAACATAGCATTTCTCATCTCCTTTCCTTCGGAAGCTCTCCACCTTTTCACTGTGATATATCCGCGGTAACCAAGCACGTCAGGAGAACCCAGCTCACGGTTTGAACACGAGCACTGCGTCACTCGGACGTATGCGCTCGTCAAAAATCAATCCGTCGACAAATATATGATTTCGCGTTCGTGGCCAACGGGTGCCTTGACGGCACTTACCGTCACTTGCGAATGACAAGTTTCATGGTGTGCTTAAAAAAAGGACGGTGGAAACATGGAGTCATTGCATTTCGAAACCAACACCGTCAAAATTGACACACTGAAATTGCCCTTATTTGCGTCGATGAAGGCAAAACTAGTCAAACTGACCAGTCGTGGAAGGCTGACCACGTCGGCTAGAAGCCTGGAAGGGCTGTCGCTGTAGCTCTACGTTTATCAACGATTGCATCGGACGCCAAAACCACGGAAGATTAACCCTGCAGACCCCCAGACGGCTGGGAGAACTTCCGGTTCCGTTAAATTACTACGTCACGACCACGTGATTTCGCATTTCGCTTTTAAGTTGAGGAGGAAAGTGAAGGAGAACGAAGTTCAAAATAATTTCCTCGTCCCTTTAACAAAATAAAAGATCCGAACATTAAAAAAAAGAAAAAATGAACAACGCACGAGCAAAGGGATATTTTTTTTAACAGTTATTGTTGTAGATGTCAAACCCTGCAGTGCGTGTAACTGCACCCGCATCATTCTCACTGCTATTTGAGTACTTTAGTAAAACGGTCTACCTTTTCTCTTTATTCGAAGTCTGTGCAACGCAAAGAAGGTGCGTCCTTACTGTATAGGCTAGCATGCAATGAGCGATGTCGAAAGGGCTTTTTGCAAACACTCATTGCATAGTTGCATATGAAGTTACGAAACACATTCGTTTTGTGGCAATTTTTACGTCAACGCGTGATACAGACGGCTTTATGCCTTAATGCCTCGGCGCCATAACTGATTCACATTTTCACTATGAACATATCTCGATAGTCGTTATGAGTCTGCGGCGTATGTAGCGTCTTCACGGACAGCATATGCCTCGTTCCAGGTAGTCAGTACCAGGGACCATTAACGGGCTTTTTGCCGGTGCCATCTTCAGTGTTCGTGCGTATGGCGTATGCTTTGCTTGCTTCCCGAAGCAACGAACGTGCGCGTGCTGCCCTGGCATTTTAGTAAACATTAGGGCGGTGTATCGGGAGCGGGTGATTCAGCGGCCGTGCTCGGGGGAGTTTCTGAGCAATGCAGAGAAACCTATGATGGGCGCTCGTGACCTCGCGCACTTTGCGCACCTATCAAAGCTGCGCAAGCGCCGACTTGATTTCTTCAACAAATTCATAAAACGAAACTATAGGTTTTGTTGGCACAGCAGTTTATCTGCGGAAAATAAAAGTGATAATAGAGGTGAGCTTGCAGAAGTTTACAACGACATTAAATAACCTTAGCCTGGGGTCAAGAAACGTAAATCATTTAAAATTGGAAGGGGAAGACGAAAGAAGATAGAGAGACAACATCTTAATACGCTATGTTTCCTAACCCTGGTTTGTATACGGGTTTAGGCCTTCCTTATTTTTTTTAAATATTTAATATATTGGGCTTAATTAAAGGCCGACTTTTTCATAATTAATTACGACTCTAAAAAGCAATTCATGTGGCATCGATGCTTCTCCAACATGTTGAAGTTAAGAAATAGATGATCTAAAAAAGCAGAAAGCGGTGAATAACATCGAGAGCGAGTGTATATTGGGGAAAAAAATTAAAAGAAATTCGGCACTTGATTGTTGGAGTTTTCGAAACCAAAGAGACAGTGCTACCTTGACGGTGCATGCATGCGTATCAACTTTGCCGAGTTCCTATACATTTTGTTTTCTTCGTTAAATAAATACTTAGCATCCATTTAATAGGTGCTTTTCGTTATATTCCAAGATCCGCGTAGTTCCTTCGCGCATATATAAGCAATCTGGGCTTTGGCGCAACCGCTCGTCTAAGGAATCTCAAGCGGTTCCGCCTTCCCGTTGCGTCAAAATGCGCCTTTCATCCTTTTCGGCGTCCTTCTGCAACGTCCGACGTTGTCCTTAAGTTATTTCGTGTGTTTTTTAACCAGCGGGAGGGAGGTTAGTCAACTTCATGGACGCTTGTTTTCACCGCTGTAGATGAGAAATTTAGCCAGTGTGGTGCCACTGCTGGCCAGTGGTCTTTATCGTACATCACGAAATAGTGATACATGAACGTACGCCGGTTCGAAACGTGCAGGGGCGAGAATTAAACCCAGGACCCCTGAATTATGGAGCGCGAGATTTCGCTCCACTTGCCCCGAATGGGCGGTACGTTAACACACGGCATCCGATCCCCCAACATAGTCGTTTGTGTTATAACTGAGACCTGAATCTTCCGACAATCAAAGACTTGCATTCTTAACCACTGCTTTATCCGAAAACTCCGACCTCAGACAACACTTGTGGCCTAGAACAATCTTCTCTAAAACCGTGCAGACGGAATCTTTCGAGGGAGCGTCGATAGCTATAGTACATCTCTGTGCGTAATTAAGACGCATATTATAACAGCGCCCACTGAGTTATTTCACAACGAACTGAGATATTATGCGAGCGTGCGAAACTACTCACCGAGTGTCTCACTTTTTAACAACTATAATGTTCCGGACAGAAGGCCCGTGCTCACAGGGCCGTCTGTTTTTATTTTGTTACCAGAGATATTCCGTTGAAATTCCGTCAGAGGGTGCACGAACTATGACGAAGACGGAATCACAAGTGGAGTTTCCCTACCTTTCACTGCCTCGCACAAATTTCAAGCATATTTTATCCCTTCGCTGCGCCATTGATGTTGAGCCTTATGAACATATGTCCCCCTTCCATTCATATGGTTTAAGTCAGTCGTGTACGTAAGCCGTTGCAAGTAACGAAATTACTTGGAATCCCTTGCATTTATCAGTAATTTTGTTAGGGAACGCTAGATATTTCAGAAGGTAATCGTAAGGTAATTTCCTTACTTTTTTACGGAAGGAATGACTGCAATCCGTTTCCTTTTTGTTTTCATTCGGGGAGGAAAAAGGCGGGAACTTTGAATAGTGGCGAAAAGGAAATCGAAAGAACTATTTTTTTTTCGTGTGTATAAGGGTAAGCACTACCGGTATCGCACTGTCACCTGCATTTACAAAACGCAAGGCCTGATATTCTTCAGATCCCAAAACCTTTCTTCACGTCGCCTAAAGCCTTGACTCAAATCGTTTTTTCTTTTTTTCTTTTTTTTTTCGTGGCTTGGTTGTTTGCAGTTAGTAACCCGTCAGCTTGCTCGCCCACAACGATTGGGGGAAGCACACTGATGCAAAGAACCGGAATCTCTGTGCAAACAATAAGAAAACAAACCCCCGAGTTTCAAGTGTTTCCTTCCAACGAAAAATAAAACAACAAAACAGTCAAAGAGCACACGAGCTCGTGTAGCGGATCTGTGCGCGCCTTTTCTTTTTGTCCCTTAATACGTTCTCTAGTTCCTTCAAGTCGAGAGAGAGAGAGAGATGACTTCTTTGTACCGAGCCGTAGTCAGGTCACAGACAGCGTCTTAATGGGCCCACCGGATCTAGCTGACTGTTTGGGTGTCGAACGTGTGGGAGAGGCCTTTCGAGGGCGTTGTTTTCTAGCCACTCAATCTAGACCCAGTCGCGTATCCAGGTGGCAGCACCT